TTTGCTTCTTCAACTAACCCCTTTTCCTTTATAAAGTCTCTGCTTAAATAGTAAGCAAATTCCAGATTATCAGACCATTTCAGTCATCCATAGTTCTATATGCATCTCATGTATATATGCATTTCATCCATAGTTCTATATGCATCTCATATGCTTTATATGCATTTCAGTCACCCATAGTTCTATATGCATTTAAGCTTATGCATTTTATTACATAAGCTTAAAGCCAGTCTCACACGTAGTAAAATGAATAACATCCAGTCTACAAGAAAATTTCCTCAATTATCTTAAAATGTCCTTTTTTGGCCAGGCACAGTGGCTCACACTTGTAATCCCAGCACTTTGGGAGGCCGAGGCAGGCAGATCACCTGAGGTCAGGAGTTTGAGACCAGCCTGGCCACCATGGTGAGACCCCCAACTCTATTAAAAATACAGAAATTGGCCAGGTGTGGTGGCAGGTGCCTGTAATCCCAGCTACTCAGGAGGCTGAGGCAGGATAATTACTTGAACCCAGGAGGCACAGGTTGCAGTGAGCTGAGACTGTACCACTGCACTCCAGCCTGGGCAACAAGAGAGAAACTCCATCTCAAAAAAAAAAAAAAGTCATTTTTCAGTTTGTCTATTCAAATCAGCATCCATCACGATCCATACATGGCATGTGGTTATAGGAGCTCTTAGGTCTCCTTGAATCTACAGCTGGCCCCTTTCCTTAATTAACATTTTTTATGCCACTGAATTTATGAAGAAACCAGGTCACTTGCCCTGTAGGATTAGCCACATTCTAGACTTGTCTATCAGTTAGGATAGGCTAGGTTATACTGTGGTAACAAGCAATTCCAAAATCTAATTGGCTTAAAACAATGAAGCTTAATTTCTTACTTCTCCTATATACCCATCTCAGATTGAGCTACTGATGACTGATAAAAACAGAATTCCTTTACCCAAAATATTGAAAAGAATGTAAATAAAAACGGAAACAAATTGATAAAGTACTTTAAAGTATATCAGTGACAACTTCCTGTTTAAATAAATATATTGTTAAAAAATCATGCAAGAGCATTTTGTTATTACTAGGAAAGATTTGAGGAGCTCTGCTACCTGTCAAACATCAGTATCATTTCCAGACCCAGACTGATAAAGTAAGTTACTATGCAGAACAGTCGTTGGTCAATTGTATGCGACAGAGGGAAATAGAGCCCCAAGGGGGCACAGGAGGAAAACTGAGCTCTCATAGGTCAATTAACATGCCTCGTCCTTGCGACAGTCAAGGTATTGTCTCATCTCATTCTGCCAGAACTGGGTCGCATTGGTACTAGCCTGTATGTAATAATATTACCAGAAAGTTGCCTGTAATCCCATGCTATCTTTGGAGTTGTCCCGAGACGCGCGGATCCACGAGGTCACGGAGATTGTCGATGAATGCCATCCTGGCTAACACGGTGAAACCGTTGTTTGTTTGTCCCTGTCTCTACTAAAAATATTACATAAAAAAAAAAAAAAAAAAAAAAAAAAACCTAGCCCGGTGGGTGGCATGGTGCCTTAGTTCCCAGCTACATCGGGAGGCTGAGGTCAGGAGAATGTGTGAACTCGGGAGGTGAGCTTGCAGTGAGCCAAGTCCGCCCACTGCACTCTAGCCTAGCGCAAGAGCAAGACTCCGTCCTCAAAATAAAAAAAAAAAAAAAAACAAATGCCAGGAAGTATTATCTTGCCATGTCCAGGAAAAGCACAGATCTGGACATTTCAGTAAGTTGCATTAATGGCTACTAGTGTATTTCATTCCTTGCAGTGTTGCTTTACTTGTTCCTCTATCTCTTGAGTTTCCTGAAAATGGAGGTTATCGCTAGAGTTTGATTAAATTTCAGGTTCAGTAATTTTGGCAAGAGGACTTCATAGGTTGGTCTGTGTGCTTCACATAAAATCACATCAGGAAGCATACCGTGTTTGACTGTAGTAGATTGTAGCAGTAATGGCTCCCTCTCACCCCAGCCAATTTTTTTTTTTTTGAGATGTAGTTTTGCTCTTGTTGTCCAGACTGGAGTGCAATGGCGTGATCGCGGCTCACTGCCACCTCTGCCTCCCAGGTTCAAGCAATTCTCCTGCCTCAGCCTCCTGAGTAGCTGGGACTACAGGTGCATGCCACCACACCTGGCTCATTTTATATTTTTAGTAGAAACAGGGTTTCACCGTGTTGGCCAGGCTGGTCTTGAACCCCTGACCTCAGGTGATTTGCCCACCTCAGCCTCCCAAAGTGCTGGGATTACAGTCATGGGCCACCGTGCCTGGCCCCAATTTTTTCAGACTTCCTTGTATTTATGCCCTTGGGCAGGCACCTGTTGTTTTCACTCTGGGCTTGGACACATGACATGATTTGGCAAACAGACAACAGCAAATCTGATGGCAAACCGAGACTCAAAAATCATTTGCACTGTGTTTAGAGATAGCAGAAGAAAAAGAAAACTTTGCATACTGGGGATTTCCCTCTTTGCTACTTTTCAGAATTCTGAGACCATCATCTGAAGAAGCCTGGGTTAGCCCCCTGGAGGACAAGAAAAAACTTGCAGCAGAAACCTGCAAACCTTAAAACATGTGAGTGAAATCATCCTACACTATCTAGACCATAGGAGTTGCCAGCTGACCACAGGTACAGCAAAGCAAGCACAAGCCAGAAAAAAATGCCAGCAGATCCCCAGAATTGTGAGCAAATGAAATTGTTGCATTAAGCCATTATACTTTGAAGTGGTTTGTAACAGAGCAAAAGCTAACTGATACACAAATCCATTTTTAATAAATCAATAGACTCAAGATCCCTGCATTGCGAAGTTCCCCACCAATCTTTCAATCAGCTCATCCACTGATTGTTGCCTATATCAATGTTTAATTTCATGCAAATCAATGATTATTTTTTTCCTTTTTTTTTGTTTTGAGACAGGGTTTTGCTCTGTCACTCAGGCTGGAGGGCAGTGGCACAATCATGGCTCACTGAAACCACGATCTTCTGGGCTCAAGCAAACCTACCACCTCAGCCTCCCAAGCAGCTGAGACTACAGGCATGTACCACTCTGCCTGGTTTTGTTATTTTTAATTTTTTTTTTGTAGATATGGGGTCTAGCTATGTTGCTCAGGCTAGTCTGGAACTTCTCAGCTTAAGCCATCCTCCCACCTTGGCCTCCCAAAGTGCTGGGATTATAGGTATGGGCCACCATGCCTGGACTAATGATGATTCTCTAATTCTATCATATCTTGCACATTAATGAGCAGGAATTCTTCTGCAAAGCACTTTCTCTCATCTACTAGGGTTATCCAGTAACTCTCAAATATAGTCTGTACATGATAGATAGATGCCCAATTCTTTCTTTTTATTTTTTTATTTTTATTTTTATTTTTTTTTGAGACGGAGTCTCGCTCTGTCGCCCAGGCTGGAGTGCAGTGGCGCGATCTCGGCTCACTGCAAGCTCCGCCTCCCGGGTTCCCGCCATTCTCCTGGCTCAGCCTCCCAAGTAGCTGGGACTACAGGCGCCCACCACCTCGCCCGGCTAGTTTTTTGTATTTTTAGTAGAGACGGGGTTTCACCGTGGTCTCGATCTCCTGACCTTGTGATCCGCCCGCCTCGGCCTCCCAAAGTGCTAGGATTACAGGCGTGAGCCACCGCGCCCGGCTTCTTTCTTTTTAAATACAAATATTCAAATGAGTAATTCTGCCCTAGTTACATCCTATGTAGTCCAATGAGGGTTTTGTTTTGGTCTTTTATTTTTTCTCTTCTATCAATATGAATTCACTTTTAAATACATTCAGTATGGTTGTAGTCAATTGTAAATTTTTTTTTCCTGCTCAAATTGCCTTTTTTTTTTTTTTTTTTTGCTAATAATAGTACTTTCATGGTGGCTTCTGTATCCTCTTGACATTATCCATTAGTCTCTACTTTCTGGCACAACAAAATGTCCCAGGCTCATCTTGTCTATTTCTTGTCACACTTTTGGAATTGGCCATTCCTCCAAAGAGTCTTGGTTCCAATTAATGGAAAAGGTATTTAGAGATCACAATCTGGGTACTTTATATGCTCACTGATATTTGGATGTCACTGCTTCTAGATCTTTTCATGGACTTAAGAAATAGTATTCTTAAAAAAGAGAAAGAGGGCCAGGTGTGGTGGTTCATGCCTATAAACCCAACGCTTTGGGAGGCTGAGGTGGGCAGATTGTTTGAGCCCAGGAGTTTGAGACAAGCCTTTACTCCAGCCTGGGTGACCTTGTCTCAAAAACAACAACAAAAAGTAAGATGATGTATTTCCTAACCCTTCTCTGAGGTTAGTAAAGTAAAAGTAAAGGCTGGGTGCGGTGGCTCATGCCTGTAATCCCAGCACTTTGGGAGGCCAAGGTGGGCAGATCGCTTGAGCTCAGGAGTTTGAGACCATCCTGGACAACAAGGTGAAACCCCTTCTCTACAAAAAAATACAAAAATTAGCCAGGCATGGTGTTATGCACCTGTAGTCCCAGCTACTTGGGAAGCTGAGGTGGGAGGATGACTTGAGCCCAGGGGATGGAGAGGTTGCAGTGAGCCAAGATTGAGCCACTGCACTATAGCCTGGGGGACAGCTAGACCCTACTACAAAAAAAATTTTTTTTAATTAAAAGAAAAAGTAAAATCACTTGTTTTACAGGGCCCACCTCAGGTTCCATGACCTCAATGAAACCTGTCCATAAGTACTTTCTCTTTTCTGACCTCTTAAATTGTTTACTGTCTATATTGCTCACTTAGTTCTTTGCATCAATCAATCAATTAAAAAATTAATGCACTACAATCTGAAGAGCACCAGAGTGGATGCTGTGGGGATGCAATGTATTACACATTAAATTTTCATGTGCAGTCACTTCCTCGATTAAGCTATATACTGAAGCCAAAGCTTCCTCATTTCCTCCATGGTGGCCAGTACTGCTGACTGACAAAAACAAAATTCCTTTACCCCAAATACTGAAAACAATGTAAATAAAAACTGAAACAAATTGATACAAATCCTTTTAATAAAGTATATTAGTGACAACTTCCTGTTTAAATAAATATATTGTTAAAAAATCATGCAAGAGCATTTTGTTATAATTATGAGGAAAGGTTTGAGACTACTGTTCCCTCTGCAGAAATGCTATGCACAGATGCAAAATGGTCAAAGGCTGATACAATAATGAATCTCAAGTAAGTAGCGGAGCCATCACGTGCCTGTATGGGAAAAAAATCAATATAAATGCTTTTAGCAGTGCTAGTTAACTGTTAACAAGCAGTTAGCAGAAGAAATGGCTTGATGCAAGAGTAATATTCTAAATACATAACAATATATAATGCCAGCTACATATAATAGTTGTGGTACGTATCAGCTAAATACAAGCCTTGGTTTGATGAAAAATAGCAACTGGAGCTAAAAACTGCAACTCTCATTTTTGTAGGGACAGGGTCTCGCTGTGTTGCCCAGGCTGGTCTTGAACTAGCCTCAAAACTAGCCTCCCAAAGTGCTGGGATTACAGGTGTGAGCTACTATGCCCAGTTTCTAATTTTTTAAAAGTGTCGGCTGGGTGCGGTGGCTTACGCCTATAATCCCAGCACTTTGGGAGTCTGAGGCGGACAGATCACCTGAGGTTGGGAGTTCGAGACCAGCCTGACCAACATGGAAAAACCCTGTCTCTACTAAAAATACAAAATTAGCTAGGCGTGGTGGCACATGCCTGTAATCCCAGCTACTCGGGAGGCTAAGGCAGGAGAATTGGTTGAACCCGGGAGGTGGAGACTGCAGTGAGCAGAGATTGCACCATTGCACTCCAGCATGGGCAACAAGAGCAAAACTCGGTCTCAAAAAAAAGAAAAAAAGTGTCTTTCTGAAGTATTTTTCATAATAAAGAAGTTTCCTTTGGTTAGTGTTGCCTCAGAATATACTACCCTGAAGCATGACTACATTTTTATATTTACATAATTTCTCTGGAAAGCAATTAGCCAATATATTTTAAAAGCTCTAAGTATGCTTATAACCTTGCACCCAGTAATTCTATTCCTTGAAATTTAATCTTAGAAAGTAAGAAAAAAGGTGGAGGTCACAGTAGCAGGAATATGCATAGATGTCCCCTGTGTATACAGAGGGGACAAACTGTGTAATGACAGAGGGAACAAAAAGAAAATTAGTTTAAATGTATGCCAATTGGCAAACATTATTTTAAAATTGTACTTATGAAGCCTGTATAATATACTTATGAGGCCTGTATAATATAATACTAAGTTAAAAAAAAATGACACAAAATTGTCCACACATTATTATTCTAACTGTACAGCAAATGGTCAACAACTAGAAGAAAATAAATACAGTAAAAGTTTTTGTGACAGGGTAATAAAATTATGGGTGATTTCCAGCCTCCCATTTCCCCCTTCTATTTTTCAAATTTTCTATAATGCTGTGGCTCTCCACAGTGGAGTCCTGAAACAATATACGAAAGGTAGCAGGGACTTACTAATCATAACCCACTAGGTAAAGACAGAAAAAAACAGGAAGATAAAATTCAGTAACATTAATTATTTTTCAGGACCTCACTGGCCTCCCCAGTACTCGGGTGAATTTTGGTGGGAGAGAAAGGAACAAAAGGGATTCAAAAACTTCCTACAGAATTTTTTGAAACACTGATTTAATAGTAGCTTCCAGCAAGTTGTGAAGAAGTAAACTTAATGCATAAGGTACAATTTTAACCCTCACTTAGGGAAACTTTAATTAAACAAAGCATGACCACCTAATAGATATTCAGTTGTTTTACTTTTTTGTGTTAGTCTAAAACCGGGGCCTGACCAACTACCAGGAACAGAGGAACTCCTGATGAGGCAGCAGCTTCCTCATCAACAGGCATTTATTTCACTTGACAAGCAAAGCCCAATGGAATGTTGTCGAAAAATACTGGTTCTCTTTCCACCTCACCTCTCTTTGGCTTATTTGTTGCTGATCCTATGCTCTAGTTCCCCTTATCTGAATCTCCCTTGTCCTTTCATGCTTAAACTAACATTCAATTTTGGCATCTCGACCTTTTTTGATTCCTATTCTAAAATGCCTACAGAATCAAACGAAAAAAAGCAAACCAAATAAATACTTCAAAGTAAATGAATGAGAAAAATAAAACAAAAAAAAAATGAATTGTTTTATCTTGCCGTCACTCTCTATGAAAGAGCCTAATTTATGAATGTACATTTAGCTTATATTATTATTGAGAATAACTTTCTCTACTGGTTGATTTAGATACAGAACCTATAATATCATGAGGATATTTATTATATATGACTATGGAGATAGGTTTAAAGTCTAAATACATTGTGCACGTTAATTTTTAATTCTATAAAGTATATTCACTTACCATAATTTCTTCATTTTGAAGCTGCCCCTCTGTGTGTACCAAATCTAAAACACAAATGTAACAGAAGAAATGAGTTAAGGGTCAAAATACATGAGAATAGCTACTGAAATTTATGTTCAGCAAAATATGATATCTGGTAAATTATAAGACCAGGTTTGAAGGACTCATCGTTTGCATGTTGAAATTTGATTTAAAAATAGAAGTATATGATATATAAGGCAAAAAAGATAATCTATGAGCTATAAAATATCCTAGTGAGTATAAGCAAAAGGAAAAGTAAATGTCAATTATATTAATAGTAAAAGAATATAAGGAACTGATAAAATGTGAAAATTTCTTTTTAAAACATTTATTTTAAAAAATCCCCTTTTCAAGAAAAAAAAAGTGAACATTTGAGGATCCAGCTACTAACAGAAAGGAGCCATTTTGCCATACCCAAAGGTAACAATTAGAGCTGAGTTTCTCAGTGAGACTTTCACTATGATGCATAATTGTGTGGCCCATGAAGTAATCTTTCTGGTATCCAAGTTTTAAAAATGTTTCCTTATCTAATTTTAGAGCAGATTAATTTATTTGATCATGAGTTAATCATATCAAACATTCTTTTGGAAACATGAAAGATTTAATTGCTATAATGATAGCTAATGACAGTATTCAAAATTAACTTCATATAAAATAATGTATACAATGTAAAAGCCCCATAGTATTAAAAGAAGTGTTTCTGTTTCCTAACCCTTTTCTGAAATAATGAAAATCAGTAATCTGCTTTACCCCTTCTTTCTCCTTTAGTCCTGCTTCCTAAAAGTAAACATTCTCAACTATTTAAGCTGTTTTTCCTGAAATTATATGCTTTTATTCCTTTTTGATAAATTTTTTACTGACTTTATAGTATAGTAGGTGAAATTTTAGCTTTTTAAAGCCGAAATCCCTCTTTTTCCTCCTTCAACTTCTCCCTCTTTCCCTCCTCTCAAATTTGAAATCCTACTTGATGGTTACATTACTTTGTCTATCTAAAGGTTATTTACTCCTGAAATAAGTAATGAATTATAATGATATTTTCTTTCTTGTACAACTCTATCACCAGAAATTAATAATAAACTTTTTCATTTGCATAGTTTTTTTATTTATGAAAAATTGAAAAACATCAGCTGGGCACGGTGGCTCACGCCTGTAATCTCAGCACTTTGGGAGGCCGAGGTGGGCAGATCATGAGGTCAGGAGATCGAGACCATCCTGGCTAACACGGTGAAACCCCATCTCTACTAAAAAATATACAAAAAATTAGCCAGGCGTGGTGGTGGGCACCTGTAGTCCCAGCTACTCGGGAGGCTGAGGCAGGAGAGTGTCATTAACCTGGGAGGTGGAGCTTGCAGTGAGCCAAGATCATGCCACTGCACTCCAGCCTGGGCGACAGAGAGAGACTCCATCTCAAAAAAAAAAAAAAAAGAAAAGAAAAAGAAAAGAAAAATATCAAACATACTTAGAACATAACAAAACTCCCACATATACCCATAAGCTAGATTTTATAATTACTAACATTTCATCAAAGTGGATTTATCAATTTTTTTTTTCACTAAAGTATTTTAGGTCAGGTGTGGTGGCTCACTACTGTAATACCAGCACTATGAGAGGCTGAGGTGGGTAGATCATTTGAGGTCAGGAGTTTGAGACCAGCCTGGCCAACATGGTGAAAACTCTTTCTCTACCAAAAATACAAAAATTAGCCAGGCATCATGGTGCATGCCTGTAATTCCAGCTACTCAGGAGGCTGAGGCTTGAACCTGGGAGGCAGAAGTTGCAGTGAGCCAAGATTGTGCCACCGCACTCCAGCCTCAAAAAAAAAAACAACAAAAATTAAAGCTTAAGTGCAAGACATTATTTGACATTTTACCTCTAAATACTTTTTTGTTCTTTTGAGACAGGCTCTCACTCTGTCACCTAGATTTAAGTGTAATGGCACGATCTCAGCTCACTGCAACCTTCACCTCCCAGGCTTAAGTGATCCTCCTTCCTCAGCCTCCCAAGTAGCTGGGACTACAGGTGTATGCCACCACACCTAGCAAATATTGCCCAGGGTAGTTTCTTGAATTCCTGAGATCAAGCGATCCACCCACCTCAGCCTCCCAAAATGCTGGGATTATGGGCGTGAGCCTAGCTTCCCCTAAATACTTAATTATCCATTTCTAAATAGTAATTATTTATATAACCATAATACCACCATCATAACAACATTAAAAATAGTGTTTTAATATAATATGAAACCCAATTCCTATTCAAATTTTCCCAATTGTCCCTGTCTTTTCATAATTGGTTTATTAAAATCAGAGTTAAGTATCTTTTAACCTTGAACTGCTTTCTCTCCCCCATTTTTTAATGGCTGACTTACTGAAGACACCAGGTCAGTTGTCCCGTACAGTGTCCCACATTCTAGATTTTTTTTTTTAGAGATGGGGTCTTGCTCTGTCACCAAGACTGAAGTGCAGTGGCATGATCACAGCTCATTGCAGTCTCAACCTGCTGGGCTCAAGTGATCCTTCCATCTCAGCCTCCCAAGTAGCTACAATTACAGGCACATGTCACCATCCCTAGCTAATTTTTAAATTTTTTTGTAGAAACAACATCTTGCCATGTTTCCCAGGCCAGTCTTGAACTCCTGGGCTCACGCAATCCTCCTCCTTCAGCCTCCCAAAGTATTGAGATTACAGGCGTGAGCCACTGTGCCCATGCCCCACATTCTAGATTTTATCATCTTGCCTATTCGTAGTTTCACTTAATTTGTTCCTCTATCCTCTATATTTCTTATAGATTGGAAATTAGAGCTAAAAACTTGATTATATTCATGGTCTGAGGTCTTCATCAATGTCTTGTGATCTTTGTCTTTTGTTACTTCTGGATTATTTGAAAACTGTGCATCATTTGAAAACTGTGTGCATGAGCTACACTTGTTGATTACTGGACCATAGGGTGACCAGAAATGAGCTGGCCTTTATCAGTATCCATAGGTCTTTTTTCTAGGGCCATTTAGTTTCTCCAAAGATGAATGTTCCAGTCTTCCAGCTGAGGGTATATTCTTGGCTGCTGACATTAATACCAGAACACAGGAAGGAGGCTGGTGTTCCCGCTATTCAATATGTAGACTTCCACTAGTATCCAATTTTCAACTCCATGTCTCACTCACTCCCTACTATGTATCTGGTCTCCTGAGCCTCAACATTCTATATTTGCAGTTGTCTCTTGAGGGTGGTGGTGGAGGTCTGTGGGAGAAAGGAGTGGTCACTTAGCTTTGCAGGATGGAAGAAGGTACCTAGAGTCTGATTACTCTGTATATAGATGTTCAACTAATCATCCTTATTTTCTGACCCAGGTCTCATTCATACTTCCCATGGCACCTGTTGCCTTTGAGCTCTAGGCCTTTCTGGGGTTCTGTGTGACAAAGTGGCTTGCTTCTTATTGATATGCTCCTTGGCAAGACCTTAGGTTATAACCTAGTTCATTCAGCTAAAGAAGTTACTACTCTTCCATCTGCTTTCTCACATTTGCTTTAGTTTGCTGGTTGTTTAATCTTTGTCCTTGTAGGTTTATGCCTGTTTTTATTCCTTTACTATTATTTTCATGATATTTTGAGAGGGAAAAGAGATAGACATATGAAGGCAAGATGCTGTGTTTAATTAAGTAGAGGCTATCAATTCTGCTGGTGATATTTAAATAGTACCATTAATCGGGAGGAAAGGAAAGAAGATGAGAAACTAATATTTATTGTCTATTATATGCCAGACACTAGTTCACCAAAACCTTAAATGATAGATATCATCGCCATTTTCCTAATAAGGATTTTGAAACTGAGAAAAATTAAGTCACATGTTAATAGTTATATAACCAGTAAATGAAGAAGCCGCTTTGTGTTCAAACCTGGGTCTTTCTAGGTCCTAAATGTGTTACAAGGATCACTGAAGTCATCTTTTTTCACCAAAGTGCAGCTAGATGAGAAATGTAGAGTCAAAGGAATATTATCTACTCCTTCATGCTCAGAACAATGCTGGTGAAACACATACCTTTTTCAATCCATTGCTCAAAATCAACTGGCTCTTTAGACGTGCTCTTTTCAATCTTCAAGGTCTGTACTGACATTGTCAACAAACAAAGTAAGTAAAGTGTTAATCTGTCTCTACGTTTTTGACCCTATATTTCTTTTTCCCTCTGCCTGAGATTGTCATGCACAGTGGAACTACACAAACACTGGGATCAGAAACATCATGGAAGTTACTCTGTATTTTTCCAAAAAACCCTATGGTAAAATATAGTCTTGTATAACTAATCTTCCAAATGTTTGCAACCATACAACACAGAGCAAGTAGAGCTTTTTTGAATTTGGCATTATTCCAATTTTTTTGTGTGTATTGGCAATAATAATACTATTGGTGGTCTTGGTCATAAACATTTATGGAGAGCCTATGATGAGTCAAACATATTTATCCATTCACTTTTGACTACAATCTTATGAGAAAGGTATTTTAACCCACTTTACTGGTGAGAAAACAGGTTTAGAGGAGCCAAGCAAGGTGTTCAATGATATACAGCTAGTAAGTACCAGAAATGGAATTCAAACCCAGAGCCTCCACAATTAATGAGAAAAGAGACTTATCAGGAATACAGTCATCTTCCTTCTAAACTGGTTTTTCTCCACTGTTCTCAGTCCAGTCTCTACCACTCCAGATCCATTCCTCCTCTTCTTTGTCCTGTTCTGTGCCATGAGGGGCTAACCTCTGTGGACTGTATCACATGGATTAATTTACCACTGCCTTCTGACTGGGTTTGTCCAGTGGGAGACACCAGGGGGAGATTGGGGTGGGGAAGGGAGATCAGCCAATTTTATCTCCACTCCCTTCCTGCTTCAGTGTGACATCTTTGACAGTTTCTCCTGCCTACAGCTCCTATTAGGCCCTTTTACACAGGCTCCAGCTCTCACAGATCTCTGATAACACTATTTCCTTCCCTTGTGCCAGGGCTGGTCACAGCTTCCTGCTACAGCTAGTTTCTGAGGGCCTCATCATTCCTTGCCTTGTTTCTTCCCTTAACCCAGGCCATAATTTTGCAAGTAGCCCCATCAATAGAGCCTCTTCATTTGAACCATCTGGGATGTATTCTGTTTCCTGCTATGATTTTGTCTGATACATTTTATCCTTAAATAAATAGGATTAGAATGATGTCCCAAGGGAGATTATCCCCCTAAATTCCTGAGAAAATGCCACTAGTAATAGAAGAATCACAACTATCCAATGTAAATAATCAGGGTTATCAGATTTTCAACAAGAATTTGACAAAGAACTCCAGGACAAATGAATCTAGAATAAAGATGTCATGGAACTTAGTGTTCTGGCAAGCTGGCATCTTACATTCCTAATAGGGCCTTTTGCCAGACTTTTACATAGTAAATTGCATGGAAATTATTATGTGCTTTGGAAGGGTTTCAAATTTGCAGTTTCAGAGAGGCCAGTTGAGCTCAAGGCAGTTAACCCATAATCCCCATCCTTTCACCCCAGCAATAAAACTGGATTCCATGCTATAAAGAAAAACTAGTGTTTTGCCAAAAGTTTACATACATGCCTTCCGCCTATGGAAAAAATGAAAGGAAAATGAAAATCAACACATGAGCCTTACCTGGAGCACCGAAAAAAAAAAGAAGAAAAAATTAATGTAAGATTTGCTTACCAAAGTAACTTTGGATTACAAGCCTTTCAATCCTTACATGTTTGTGGAAACAAATAATGAATTCCTGGGGAAACATTCCTGTGGTGGTCCAAAACGTTTCTGGATTCCTATTGTTAATTTTAAAGAAAAAATAAGAATAGCCAAATACAAATGGTTAATCATAAAATTTTACTGAATACCTGTTTTTTTAAAATTAAATGACTACTGGATTCTTACATCTCCTTTCTATTAATTCTGCCTCTAATCTCTCTCCAACTTTAATAATTCTTCTTTACTACTACCAGGTATTCTTTTCTAAAACACAGAAACGGAATTGATGTCACTCCTATCTAAATGCCTCAGGGGTCCCTTATTGCCTATAATTCTAAACTCCTTCGTATGGCATTTAAGACTGTACAATCTGGTTCCATCATTAAGTTATATTCTCTTCCACCACTGTGGTCACACTGGGCCACTTAAAATTCTGCAAATACGTTATGCAGGCTCTTGCTTCTGTACCTTAGCTCATTCATGAGGTTTTGTTTTTTGGTTTTTTTTACCCGAAAAACCCTTCTTCCCCTTGCATAAGTTAATTCACTTTCTGGTCCCATTTATCTAACACCACCAAATCAGAATCACTTCCTCCCTCTTTTGCACTTATCTCATACTCAGCCTCCATCTCTACATTGGCACTTAATCTCCTGTGTTTCTATGGCTCCCACTAGATGCTGAGCTCTGAGTCCAGCTTCTTTCTCTTACTCATCTTTATAACCCTACAACTGCTGCAATGCTCACCCATAGTAGATATATGCTAAATGTTTGTTCAAACAAAATTAAAACATGCACTGAATTTTAAGTCATATATAGTCAAAATAGTATATATGGTTTTGACTACAGAAATAATCATTTCTATTTTAACTATATAAGCTTTTTACTTTTTTGGGAAGTAAAATTTACCTACAGTGAAATTTACCTTAAGTGCATAACTTAGTGAGTTTTGATAAATGTATATGCTTATGTAACCAATACTCCAATGAAGATACAGAACATTTCCATGACCCAGAATCTCCCTTAACTTTCCTTCCAGACAATCCCTACCTCCCTTAGGCAACCACTGCTCTGATTTCTATCACCACCAACTATGCCACAACGTTTTCATTCGTGATTTTGTTTGATATTTTTGTTGGATATTTTAATTGCTTGCAGCTTTTCACTATTAGGAACAAAACTGCTATAAGTATTCTTGTACAAGTGCTTGTGAACATGTTTTCATTTCTCTGGGTAATTACTAAGAGTGGAATTGCTAGGACATAGGGTAAAAGTATATTTAACTTTATAAGAAACTGTCAGCTTGCCAACGTGGTTGTACTATTTTGCACTCCATTTTCTTTCTTGTCATGTCATGTCTTTGTCAGGCTTTGCTATCCGGATAATGTTCTCATAAAACAATTTGGGAAATGTTTCCTTCTCTATTTTTGAGAAAGTTTGTGGAAGACTGGTATTTCTTCTCTAAATATTTTATTGAATTTAATTTCTATAATAGATATGAGGCTGTTCAGAATTTCCAACTGATCTTGTGTCATTTTTATAAGTTGAGCTTTACAAGAAATCTGTCCATTTCATCTAAGTTGTCAAATGTATTAGCTTAAATTTGTTCTTTATAACTTTTATTAATTCTTTCAAATGATCAACTTTAGGCTTTATTATTTTTTCTAATAATTGTCTATTTTACTGATTTCTGCTCTTACCTTTACTATTTATTTTCTTCTACTTAGTTTGGGTTTAATTTGCTCATTTTTTTTCTAGCTTCCTAAGGTGAAAATTTAGATTATTGGTTTTACAATTTTTTCCTTTTTAACGTAAGTATATATGCTATTACTTTCCCTTGAGACACTGCTTTAGCTGCATGCTACAAATTTGGTATGTTATATTTTCAACATCATTCTGTTAGAAGTATTTTCTAAGGCCAGGCATGGTGGCTCACTCCTGTAATCCCAGCACTCTGGGAGGCTAAGGAGGGTGGATCACCTGAGGTCAGCAGTTCAAGACCAGCCCGGCCAATATGGGGAAACCCCGTCTCTACTAAAAACACAAAAATTAGCCAGGTGTCTGGGACACACCGGTAGTCCCAGCTACTTGGGAGGCTGAGGCCAGGAGGTGGAAGTTGCCATGAGCCGAGACTGCACCACTGCACTCCAGCCTGGATGACGGAGACTCCATCTCAAAAATAATAATAAAATAAAATAAAATAAAATTATAAGATCCCTTATGATTTCTTTTTTGACCCATGGGTTATTTAGAAGTGTAGTGGTTACTAAGTTTTGGGGGGGTTTTCTGAATATCTTTTTGTTGTTTATTTCTAATTTAATTACACTGTGGTCAGGGAACATACTCTCTAAGATTTTAATCTTGAAATACATTGAGACTTATTTTATGTTTCAGCACATTTCAGTGAATGTTCAACATGTTGGGTTTTAGGTTTTTTAAGAGACTGAGTCTCGCTCTGTCACCCAGACTGCAGTGCACTATCTTGGCTCACTGCAGCACTGACCTCCTGGGCTCAAGCCATCCTCCTGCCTCAGCTCCAAAAGGAACAGTGACTACAGGTATGCGCCACCATGCCTGGCTAATTTTTGTGTTTTCTTGTAGAGACGGGGTTTTTTTTTGTTGTCCAGGCTGGTCTCAAACTTCTGAGCTCAGGCAATCTGCCTGCCTTGGCCTCCCAAAGTGCTGGGATTACAGGCGTGAGCCACCACATGCAACTCATCAATATGTTCTTGTTCCATGTTGTTGATTATAGTATTCTATAACCATCAACAAAGTCGAGGTTATGATATTATTCAGATCTATGTCTTTATTGATTTTCTGCCAAATTGTTCTATCATTACTGAGAAAAGGGTACTAAAATCTCTAACTATAATTGTGAATTTATCTAGTTCTCCCTTTTATCTGTCAGATTTTGTTCTATGTATTTTAAATAACTATTATTAGGTCCATATACACTTAGGATTATCCTCTCTTCCTAATGAATGGACCCTCTAACATTATAAAATGTCCCCTTTGTCTCTGGTAATACTCCTTGTCTTATATTCTACTTTGTCTGATATGAATATAGCTACAGCAACTTTCTTATGTAAACTGTTTGTAGGATGCATTTTCTTTCATCCTTTTATTTTCTTTTTTCTTTTTTTTTTTGAGACGGAGTCTCGCGCTGTGTCACCCAGGCTGGAGTGCAGCGGCGCGATCTCGGCTCACTGCAAGCTCCGCCTCCCAGGTTCACGCCATTCTCCTGCCTCAGCCTCCGAGTAGCTGGGACTACAGGCGCCCGCCACCACGCCCGGCTGGTTTTTTGTATTTTTAGTAGAGACGGGGTTTCACCATGTTAGCCAGGATGGTCTCGATCTCCTGACCTCGTGATCCACCCGCCTCGGCCTCCCAAAGTGCTGGGATTACAGGCTTGAGCCACCGCGCCCGGCCATCCTTTTATTTTCAACCTATTCGTATCTTCATATTTAAAGTGCGTGTCTTTTAGACAATATATATTTGGGTCTTGGCCTTTTATCCAATCTGACAATCTCTGATATTTAATTGGAGTGTTTAGCCCCATTGACATTTAGTGTAACTAGTGATATGGCTGAGTATAGATCTACTATCTTGCTATTCATTTTCATCCCTCCCATCTATTCTTGTTCTGTTTCTCCTTTCCTGTTTCTGAGTGAATAAATTTTTTACATTCCATTTAATTCATCTATCTTTTTTAGCTATACCTCTTTTATTAGAAATTTTTACAATAGCTCCTCTCTAGGTTACAACATAAAATCCTCATGATAGTCAATTTACACTGAACATCACTTTTGTGCCATTGTTGTCATATATTTTATATATATAATATACCCCATAATACAATTTTTTTCATTAAGTGGTCAGTTATCTTTCAAAAAAATTAAAAGAGGAAAAAAAGGCAGTCTTTTATAGTTACCTGAATATTTACCATTTCCAGTACACTTAATTTCTTCTTATAGGTTTGATTTTCCACCTAGTATTATACTCTTCAAACTGCAGAATTTCTTTTAGCATTCCTTGTGATGTAGGTCTACTTGTGATGAAAAATGCCTTTATCCTATCTTAATTTTTGGAAGATAGTTTAGCTAGACACAGAATTCTGGGTTGACAGGGTTTTTAAATATTTGCTTGTTTCTCCCTTTCCCAGTATTTTAAAGATATTGCTCCATTGTTGTCTGGTTTCCACTGTTTGTGATGTAAAGTCAGCTGTCATTAGTGCTATTGTTCCTCTGTATATAATAGTTTTTATTTCCTTTTAGCTATTTAAAATATTTTTTTTCTTTTTCTTTTTCGGCAGTTTGACTAAGATACAACCTCTGTATTTATCTAGCTTGGGACTTGCTGAGTTTTTTGGATCCATAATTTGTTATTTTAAAATAAAATTGGGGAAAATTCAGCTCAAAAGTAGAAACAATCCAGGTGTCCATAAACTGATGAATGCATAAATAAAATGTGCTATATCCATACAATGAAATCTTGACAATAAAGAAGAATGAAGTACTGATAAGTGCTACAACATGGATTAACCCTGAAAACACGTAAGTGAAAGAAACCAGGCCAGGTGTGGGTAGCTCATGCCTGTAATCCAAGCACTTTGGGAGGCCAAGGCAGGTAGGCTGCTTGAGGTCAGGAGTTCAAGACCAGCATAGCCAACATGGTAAAACCCTGTTTCTACTAAAAATAAAGAAATGAGCCAGGTGTAGTGGTGCACACCTGTAGTCGCAGCTACTCGGGAGGCTGGGGCATGAGAATCACTTGAACTCAGGAGGCAGAGGTTGCAGTGAGCTGAGATTGCACCACTGCACTCCAGCTTGGATGAAAGAGCAAGACTGTCTCAAAAAAACAAAAAACAAAAGAAAGAAACCACTCATGGCCGGGGGTGGTGGCTCACGCCTGTAATCCCAGCACTTTGGGAGGCAGAGGTGGGCAGATCATGAGGTCAAGAGATCAAGATCATCCTGGCCAACATGGTGAAACCCCGTCTATACTAAAAACACAAAAATTAGTCAGATGTGGTGGTGCCTGCCTTAATCCCAGCTACTCAGGAGGCTGAGGCAGGAGAATC